GTCATTTCATTTGAGTCACATTCACACCCTTGTAACATCTATAGTTGTTGTTCTTCTCCATCAGCACCAGTAATAGAATGTGGATTTGCAATTTTGTGAAATTTTGAGTCTTCTGTGTTGTGGGGTTATGCACATGCACGTATAAGTGTGCCAGCAATATGAAAACCACCCAAGTGTACAAAAGTAAATCACAAGGGCAAAGCCACTTCAAGTTGTCAGAAGCCTTAAAATACGAGGACAGAGGAGGTGTGCAACCAGTTCATTCTATCCATTACATCCTTCTGTTTGTGCATTGTGTGCTTACATGCAGTGTATCCTGTAGAATGATTCTGCACTACTAACTCTATACTTCTTCCAAATTAAATGTCCTTTTGAAAAACTGAACTGATCTAACAAGGCAGCCAAACCATAGGTCTATGACTTGGTAAATTCTCACTTGTACCAGTTATCACAATGTTAGCTCTTGTATGCATAGAATGAACTGCGCACCCAAAATTCCTCTCTACACATGCAGTTACTAATTTTGCAACTACAACTGCTTGACTGAACATCAAGTGTGGGTGTCTTATCTGAAAAGGGTATTAAATTTAAAGCAAAAATAGATTAATGGCAATTTGTACATACTTTTAGAAGGGGAATTATTATTCAATTCCCATTTATTTTTAGAGCTTAACTGTCCATATGTCAAAGCAATAGAGCATGTTAAATATTGACACCAGGAAGCAAATTGTTATTGCTTTTATTTACTTTAAATGATAGCAAATGCTTTGTTTTTGTAAAATAAACCCTATATACTCTTTCCTGATAATGAAGGTTTTTCTTTAATTAACCACCTTTTCTCACATATGTCTATATGAAAGGCAGGGATTAATACATTTATCTATCTATCTATCTATCTATCTATCTATCTATCTATAATAACAGATTGCTTATCTTATTCTTGTGGTTCCTTAAGTCTATATCTATGCCAAATGCATCACTTGATGAATATTTGCTCAGCTGAACAATGTGTCAGTTGCTTCTGTTTACAATGAGTCTTTCCCCACAAGTCCATTTTTATTTACAAATACTTATTACTCATCTTGTTTTATTCTAATCACTAACATCTACAGCAAGCATGACATTTCACATCTAACCAGAGCAGCTGCTACACGCTGACGTGCATCCAAAAAACTGCACAAACAACTGGTCAACTTCCTATGATGTGTCATCTCAATATTACATTTCATGGGAAACCTGCATTTCCAAACTTTATCCTGTTAGTCAAATGTTGAAATCTTAACAGGGACCTTATTGTTTGTTAATATAGGCTTTGAGGCAGTTTTACTAGATTTTTAAGATAATGAATATAATTAATAAAATGGTTAATGCCTTACAGGAAAGCAGAGGTATAACATTACACTTGAGTGCTCCAGGGTGGAGTGGTGCATGGGCAGGACAGCATCACTGACTGCGGTGCTGGCAGTATGGCGGTAGCTGGTCTTTCAGTATAGCCACTCATATTTTTTCACCCCTGCCCTCTGGGGTTCATGCCTGGGGCTGGTACCCCAGCCACCACACTTTGTTATGTTGCTGCAGGAAAACTGAGTTCTGTTTTCAGCTCCTCCATTGCTTTTCTGTGCAACTCAAGCAAGCCACTTTACTTCTCAGTGCATCTCTTTTCTCATCTGCATCAGAAAGGATGTGAGGTTTAATAAATGCCATGAAGTTCTTTTGGATATTCAGATGAAAGACCCTAGAGAGTGGCAGTGCATTACTATTTATTTTTGGCTGCCACAACTATACCCATTGATTGAAGTACCCTCCTGAGAAACAACTTAAAACCACTGAGAGCTTAGAGAAGATCATTTGTGCCTTCAGCCTATAAAATTTTCCACAGAGGCCAGCGCTGCTCCCTCAGGTTTATCTACACTACACAAGAGGTGTGTTCTTAAGCAGCTTGAGGTCCACCTAAGGCTTCTTTCTTTATTGGTTTGAACTTGAGGTGCTTACCTGAATTAAATTACCAATTGCCTTGTCATCATTTTTCTTTTAAATCTACTTAGTCGTTCTGAGTTACAAACACACTCTTTTACTGCAGGGTGGACATAATGTAACGCTGTGTATTGGGCTTCTGGTCGGCCCCGTAAGCAAGGCAGTGTGGCCTCTCCCATAGTCCTAGCAAGCCTACCCTTTGCTTCACCACAGACTTGCTGGGAGACATAAAGCAATTCCCTTCCCTCTGTGCCTCTTTCATCTTTCAGGTGTATTGATCATTCTGATTACAAGAGTCCTTTGGGACAGGGACTGCCTCAGACTAAATATCTGTACAGTCCCAGGTACTGGGCAAACTTTATCTCAGCTATGGCTTCTAGGTACTATGTTCTCTGGAACTCTGCTGATCACTGTGCCATAGCTAGCCAATACATTTTAAACCATGTTTAAATCAATAAGTAAAAATTGTTTGCTTGTTAAACAAAGTTTGTTGAAACAATTTTGGGTGAAAATGTAGAAGAGCCCTCCTCAGCACAGGAACAAAATGAAGATAAAACCCCTTATTCCACAAAAATGGGACGTGGCTACTATAGAGCACAAAATGAACTACACAGTGAGGGCATCTACACAAGACGCTTCAAGCGCATTAGACTAAATCTACTGCACATCAGCATGGCAGGCAAAGCCCGTGCGAATGAGCTAACACACGGCAGATTTAGTCTAATGTGCATTAGCATCACTAAAAAACATTCACCAGCACTTTTTTAGGAATGATTTTGGCACTTTAAGCTAGTACCTGTCATTAGTTACTAAGCTTAATGTGCCATAATTACAGCACATTAATGAATGTGTAGACATGCCCTTTGAGTAAAATCCCTTAAAGGACATGTAGACATGCCCTTCGAGTAAAAATTGAACTCAGTGGCAATAACTTTCAACAGAACCAAGAGTTTATCTTCTATGCTTTTTCTTAGAGCTGGTCAAAAATCAGAGCTTGGATATTGTGACAAATTCCAAGATTTTGAAGGAGTTTTGTTCTGTTTTGTTCCATTTCACTTAAACATTCTCAATAAAACCAAGCTGGGATTCCCAGGGCTCTTAGGCTGCTAGTTCCTCACCAAAAACCTTGGAAAGACTCTCGCTCAATGTGGGATCCAAGCTCCATGCTGTGCATCCAGGCACCTATCTGCAGCAAGGATGAGCTAAAGCTAGGTCTCAGAAGGTGTCTGGGTAATCCCAGGCTTCCAAGCTCCAGAGCAGGAGAACTGGAAAACTGCAGCTTAAGTCAGGTGCCGGAAGCAGAGCTTCCATGAAGAGTGCAGACAACTGTCAGGCCTTAGCTCCCAGCTTCTCAGCCAGGACCACAGCACAGGGGGTTGCGGGCCCTAGAAGAGGCATAACTGGCCAGTACTGTGCCCAGAGTGCTAGTGGCACCTGCTGCCAAAGACTTGCTCTGTGGGAGATGTCCTCTCCTTTTTTTGTTGGTGACATGTATTGAGCAGCCAAAAACCACCAGTTTTCAGAGGCAAAAAAGGAGGCAACATCTCTCCAGCAGTAGCAAACCTCCAATTACATACTGCTGCCATCTCTGCCCTCCCCACTGCCAGAGCTGGAGCCTCTGGAAGTCGGGTGCAAGGTGTATGGGAAGGGGAGAACAAGGGGCTAGGGTAATATGTAGGCTTCCGTATAAGCACATTTGTACTAATCAGTGCATTTCCATGGAACATTTCTTTTTAAACAAATCAGTATTTTCTGACAAAATCCAGTATTGTCAGAAAATTCACCACCAGCTCTAGTTTTTGTATAGCATCCTTGACCTTAGCATCTACAAATACTGAACGAGTAAATCTCTCTGGCATTGCCCATAACAGATGCATACAGCAAGCTACCCTTCAACTTCCTTTGGCTCTCCTTTATTTTAAAATGAGGTCTGTTTAGATGAGAAACAAATAGGCTGTTGTTCTTGCAGTTGTTTTCTAAAACTTGACATTTATATAAGCAGCTGAAAACAAGGAGCGGCTTGTATCATAGATTACCTACTAGGCTCTCTGTGGGCACCAGCACATGCTCAGTGGATCACAAACCACTGAGAACCGCTGCCTCACATGGTGTTCACTCCATTTTAATTATATCTTGTTTCAAACAAAGGCAAGTAAACATCTACTGTACTCCAAATGCAGTCTAACCAATGCTTTATGACACAATAGCACAATAATTGTAGTTATATCTGTATACAGCACTCCATAAAAATCTGTATTAAAAGAATGTCAAGGTTACCTTATTAAGCACTCAGAGGTCAGGAAATACCAAACGTAAGGTTATTTGAACAACCCTGCCTGTGCCCTTTTATATATAAAATTGTTTTAATGGCATTTGTTCAATTTGTGTTAGAATTTCTCACCTTCTCATTGAGGCTCTATTCAGAGTGCAATAAAAGATTACATGGTCATGTACCGTTGAATAAAAGCAGGCCACAGTCTCTTTACGTATAATATGGCTTGATGCCATCTCTCCTATATAAGTTTTAATAACTTTTTAAAACTCATTTTCTGACTTTAACTGTTTGTATCAAAAAAGCACTGCCTTGAAAAACTTATAGGGCCAACTTGAAGGCGAAAGGGCCTGGATTCAGATCATCTTTGTTGTTCACATTTATTGTAAAGGGCGCTGCTTTATATAACTGAAGATCTGAACTATTAGGTATTTGCCCACCACTATTTTCTGCTTTTTCTCTGAAATTATAGAAACACAAGTCATATTCTAAGGCTTCAAGAATGAACCATTTACTTAATTATATATTTTTGTCTCCTTTCACATTCAGCCTTGTATGTTAAAAGGACATATAGCAAATGTAATCTAATGTTTCTCTTTTCAGACTTTTAGATATTAATTGTTGACTTTTTAATGTCAGCATATTACAATGACTAAAATCTTTGAGTCAAGTGTCATGATTTGCATGTGTATTTCTTAAAGAATTAAGTGTTTCTGGGCTGAATGTTACATTTCACTTATTTTTTTTAGGGAAAAATTGCAAAAACCCTGAAACAATATAAACTAAAAACTAGTGCAAGCTTTACTACAAAAAAGATATCTCTGTTCATAAAGGTAAATGTTTCTATTCTAGATGGGCCTGAGATTAAGTTCAGGAAAACTTCCCCAGAATTCAGAAAATAGTTAGATTTTAAACCCAGGGTTTCAAACTGGTCAGTATTTTTAAAAGGTGCAAATCTACCCTGACTTCAGTATAGAAAAGGACAGAGTTGAGCCTAGAAGAAAAGGACAAAGATAGTAGTAAGGTGAAAAAAGACTAGATATACTAATACTATAGAGGAAAAGGCAAGTTGAGATGTAAATATGAATGAAGGTATAAAAAGTCATAAATGTGAGACTGTAGATCTTGAATTTGATTCAAAGAAGAAAAAAAATAAGTAATTGAAAGAATTCAAGAAGAAGAAGAATGTGGCTAGATTTAGCTGCTAGGTCTGAGATTTTTGTGATTTTTCTCTGTTTCAGAGAGCAGGAGGAGAAAGCATAGTCCTGGAAAATATGTTTTTCAATGGAAGCTTCCTCCCTCCTCCAAATATCTGACACTCAGTAGACTAGACTCTGGACTGTAGACCCTAGACACCAAAAGGAAGGAAAATTGCACGATGGATGAAGTTATGACACTGTGATTCTTCAAAATTCTTGGCTCTTTCCTTTCAATTTTTGGCTCTTGATTTTGAAGGCATTTCAATTATCAGTTCTGGCCTCACAAAGAAAAGCAAAACTCACTGGGTAGTTTGGACTTTGGTTTACCACAGTTCTTAGTATGCAGGTCTTACCCTTACCTGCATTTCCACCATAGCATATGGATAAATATAATGCAGGTTTAAATAATAAGGAAAGATAATGCTACAGCCTAAATTTAAAAAATGTAGTTTGAATCATACTCATTCAAGGTCTGCTTTGAGATTAGTTGCAGGACTCATCTTTATATCTACCATGAACTGAACATTTCCCTTATCAACAGAGGTCTGATCTTTCTATAGATCACTCCCATTTATCATTTACCAGCCTGCACATTTGTTTTAAATAGGGATTTTAGTGACATCTGGTGGCTATATGGGAAAACTCACCTTTGAAAAAAATTATGTCATTCACTAACCCAAGCTGTATAAGTTCTGACAGCTCATAAACTTCAGTGAGAGTTGTGATTTAGGGTGAGTCAAAGGGAAGAATGGATTGGCAATATGATTAAGCAAATTTTTGAAAGGATGCCATTGACAAAGCTGCTTAGCCTGCATGGTATAGCATCACCCAGCAAAACTGATCATCAACTGATCTACCAAAAAAAATTTAAAAAACATATTTTGACAATATTTTAGTGACCAAATTATGAAGGTTTCAGCAAACAGTATTTAGTGGAGATATAGACCCAAGTTATGCTTCTGATTTATGTGGCTCTTATTTCCAGTCCATATGAGTTTGCCCAGGAATTGGCAAAGCAGGGTGCAAAGTGGGGTGTGGGAGATGCCACCCATTCTGCAGGGGTGGCTGCATCCCACTCTTAGCCTCCTTCCCTGCCCTACCCACCAGTGTGGGCAGACTGCAACACTGGAACCTCTGGCGACTTGTACCCAAGGCAGGTTAAGAATTCCCCCCGCCTTTTTTGTGTTCAGAGGTACATCAACTTCCACCCCCCTCCATATCCACCATCTGCTGCTACTGCTTGCCCCATTGGCCTGGGCCAGGAAAACTTCAAAACCTCTACTGCCTCTTCCAGCCAGGCTATGAGGGGGCTGGACTCAGCTTGGACAGGAACAGTAGTAGCAACAGAAATGGACAGGGGTGCATTCCCCCACCTTTCCCAGTCCCCACAAAAGCAGGCTTCAGAAGGTGGAGTCCCCCTGCCCATTGCCTCTGGTGCTGTCACTGTTCCCAGCTGAGCCCATGCCTGCACAGCCTGGCTGAAATGGGCAGAATGGCTTTGGAGCTTTCCCAGGACCTAGGACAGTAGGGAAAGCAGTGGCAGAAGGTGTGTGGGGGTTGGGAGAGGGCAATGCTGAGCCCCCAGGACCCAATCCTGGCATGCCGGGGTTAGGGGGAGGTGGTTACAGACCCCTTGGGACCTAATCATGGTATGCAGTGGGTGGGAGGGGTGGTGCTAGGCCCCCAGGGTCCAATTCTGGCACATGGAGAAGGGAAGGGTGGTGCCAAACCACAGGGCCTGATCCAGTCCACAGACTCTTGACCCTGCAGGGCCAAAAGGTTGAGCACCACTGGTCCAGAGGTTCGTGAATGAAAACAGTTGAGTCTGCACAACCAGATTCCAAATCTCATTTTGGAGATTATGAACTGATTCCTTTCTCCTTTATCCTATGAGTCATGGCACTAAACCTTCCTTGTCATGTTTCAATGCTTTCAGATGGGACTGAAACCTTGTTGCGCTTGCTAAATTACATTCAAATGACACCAGCTGTAGTTTGGTATGAGAAATAAGCAAAGCATTGGGTTAGGATTTACGTAACTTCAGCTAGTTCCCTCTTCCTCAGCACTGCTATGGGCCACCAGACTTCAAGTACTGAAAGGTAGCAATGGCAGGAAAAGGTAATAGGAAGGAAGGAACAAGAAGAAGAACCCTGAATCAGAAAGAAGCTTATTTCCTATATTACTAAAGCATTATAATGCTTCTGAATCCCCACCATACATATCTGGGCTCCTTGGCACCTGAAAAGCCTCTTTTGGGTCATCAGGCTCATGGGTACAGTTTTAGCTCATTCAGAGATGAAAAGACTGTTAAGGCTGTGGGGGAGAGGGCCCACAAATAAGTCCCATGAGCCCATAAAATTATTTGAGGTCCTAATTAGCAAGGCAAGTTTCATGGCAGAGAAAGGTCAAGAGCCTTCTAAAGATCACAAGCGGGATCCAACAGGCCTCCAGAAACTTGCAAAAAATTGACTTGCTCCTCCTCTGCTCCAGGTTCCACAAGTCATACTGAACATACAGAGAAACAGAGCTCACTAGATCTGAAGGGCTGGGCACACTCTGTATTATTACTTGTTTGTAATACAGTATCACCTGGAGACCCCCTCTTCCAAACTGAGATTATCATCATAAAGTATTCTACAAGCAAAAGAGGACATATCCAATAAAACAGGATCCAAAGACCTGTGGGGAAGGGGCCCTACCTGAAATCTCTTCCATGGAGGCCAGGGAACAGTAAGCAGCAAATGGAAAATTTTTCCTCAGTTCTGCTGAATGCCAAACCTGCTTGAAGCCATATCTTCTTTAGACCACAGGAAGAATTTTTCACTTTTTAAAGTTAATCAGCAGGAAGGGAGAGGCATCTTTCTGCAGCTTAGAAGCTGGATTCTGTTAAAGGAAAGATTTGAAGGGCTGTGATTTTCTTTTAAAGTCTCTTCCGCAAGGCCCTGAGTAGGGTCAGGAAACTGGGCAGTAGACCAAACAGAAGGATTCTATGCCTGAATGCTTAAAAGGCTCCTGGATTGGACCTCTCCTCACTTCTAGAATTTTTATAGGAATGAGATTTCTGTCTATTGTCATACCAGTGACTTGATTAAGATGAGTTTATGTTACAAGTGCATACTACCTTCTAAGTGGATATTACCCCGCAGAATCAATAATTACCGTAAAAAATGTTAGAAGCCCATGGAATGTAGAGTCAAGGTGGTTTCTATGCTCAAAGATAGCAATGACAACTTGCATGAATGACTGGTGGCTCCCAAGACTGCAGGGGCACTATGGCGGTGAGCGGTAAGCAGGGAACACCCACAGACGCCAGCATTAGTGGTGGTGAGCAGGGACCACCTGCAGATACCTGTGGCGGTGACAGGGGGGGCAGGTGGTGAGTGGTGACTGCCCACAGAAGCCAGTGGTGGCTTTGGCAGCAGCAAATCTCGAGGGGGGGGGGCACATGCCCCCCCCCCACATGTCGCCTATGACAACTTGGTCTGAGATAAGCACTACAGATTTGACTCTGTCCATTAGATTTGTGAATGTGAACTGAGCACAACATGAAAGATGAAGGGACAGCATCATTTTCTCAATGGCATTAGGAGCATGGCCAGGGCAGGAGAAAATGGAGACTTGGCCAGAACACTCTAATATTTTGGTGCTTCTAGGCTGCTACAATTGCCTCTGGACATGATTAGCAGCTGGTAAAGAATGAAGTAGTCTTCAGCCTGCTTTGCCTGCCACAAGAGATAATAATCTAGGATTTTTTTCCTCCATCTCAGAGAACAGGGGCCTCAAATTTTATTTATTTGCAGTATTTCATTTTTATGTTGCCCTCCCTGAAATAAGGCTTAGGGCAACTTACAATAACAAGTCGTAAAAACAGATAAGATAAAACAACCCACAAAATCCTCCAAAGTATAACCTCACCTGCTAAAGGCCTGCCCCTGCAAAAAAGGACTTATACAGGTTCTGGCTCAGGCTCTGGCAGGCCTCAAGACGGAGGGAGTTCCAAAGCTGAGGAGCAGCTACCAAGAATGGCATCTCCCGAACTTTCATCAGGTAAACTTGGCACACAGAGAGTACCTATAGGAGGTGGCTCTTAGGGTTTATGATAGAACATAATGGAAGAGGGAGTCCCTTCGGTATTTACAACTCAGAACATTTATTTAAACAAAATACATTATAAAGTAAACATATCACAAATGTCCTCCTGCTGCTGCATTACAAACACTTCACTTACATTGGCTCATGACTACCTAGTACTGCCTGACACAATAAGATTTTGCATTTGTTCCTTCTAATTGGGGCGCTGTTAAGGCTGTGGTCATTACCAGCACTTGTTTAAAAGTGCAACTTTAATTCTACCTTTCCTGCGTTTCCTATGTTTAAAATAGCATTCAAAAATGGTAATGAGAAATACACTCCAAATACTGATAATAACTTTAACTGCAATGGAACTATTGACTTAGAAGCAAAAAAAGTCAGAATGTTTGGAACAGCAATAGCATCTGAAAAAGAACAAGAAAAGGAATATTGCAAGTACTAAAAGAGTGAAGAAACACCTACAAATATAACTGCAAAAGGTCACAGTCCTGATAGACCAGAATGACACCCTGACCCTTAGAAACAAAATTAAAAAGAGGTACCCTAATCTATTTGTACTGCAGATTTTTATTTGACCTTCATTCACATACATAGTACCTGAGCATCTAGTGGTGCACGCTGTAAAAACTGTGGATGAAAAAAATGTGCTGACAAGCAAGGGGATCTAGCAGAGGATACTAAATTGCACGGGGTTCCTGAAGTTCCTCATTCTGATGGTTAAGTATCAAAGGCAGGATCTTTTAATTCCACAGTCTCCCCCTTCTTCTACAGGAGTTCTACAATTTATGTTCATTTTCACTGACTGACCAACTCTAAGAGAGATCTTACTGGGAGAACGTAACCTTGTAGGGAAGTACATTGATGGAGGACAAAAGCCAAAGGATCCTCATGCTAGATGATGAGTGGCCAATCTTTCCATACTACCTTTCCCTTTAAAACTAACGAAAGTTGAAATTTTCCATCATATATTAACAATAAAATTTTGATTATGAATCAGTGTAGTACTTAGAACTGTTAGTTGGAGCTCAGTGCAGGAATTTGTCAGATACAAGGTGAATGATTAAAAGATGTTGTGAAAAAATCTGTTACAGTAAATGAGTTGTTAGAACATGATGTGATCAAGGAAATTGCTCTTAATCTCCATGCTTTAGATACTGTTAAATCCAACTGAAACAATTATGCCTGCTACTCAGAATTATAGCTAATAAACCTTTTCCATGTACTGTATGTTTGTATTTTTTTAATGAAGTATGTAAGAGTAGTTTTTCCATTCTTTACCTATTCATACAAAACTGCTCTGATACCAAACCCTTCAGTTAACTTTGCATTATTAGTTAACTTCTTGGGACATTAGTTTACAATAACTGTGCCTAGTTGACAAGGACCTAATTCATATAGATGTATGAAGCATTTTGAAACCATCAGACATCACTTTCTAAGCATTGTAAGAATGATTACTTTCTAAGTATTCTTTTAGGGATGTACAAACAGAAAAAAAGGAAAATGTTTGCAGAACTGTGTCCCCTTTTCACTGAATTAAATGTAGTAAATAAAAATTGTGATTTTTTTTCCCTAGCCATCTCTAATTAATATTGCACAAGGCAAAGAGCTGGGGAGTTTGAAGGTACTTTATAGTATGCCAGAAAAAAAAGGCAGGATCAGCCATGAGAGTTAGGCATCTCACCCAGCCAACATCAATAGTTGTGTTTTTTTTCAAAAAAATAAAAGCATCAATAAAATGCAAAAGAAAAGTGTTTAAAATTTTTAAAAGCCCCTTCAGATAAAGACACTCCTTATTATAATAGCAACTGGACACTCCGGGATCCACATTACCAAAGCATGAATTCACTTCTGGGATGGCTGAAGTCACTCAGCCTGGTGCCTTGCAGCTTACCCAGAATGCACATTAACAGCCTCATGTCTTATGGCTTAATTAAATGATTAAATGCTTTACATATGGAAGACAATCTGTTAAGCAACAGACTCTGGCATGTCTCACACTGAAAACACATTAAAAGCTCTTGCCATCTAAAAAAAAGGGGGGGAAAGAGGGGAGGAGGGAAAAACCCTGAACATTTGGCTCTATACTGCTTAAACTGGATCCAACCAAATGTGCCAAAACTGAATGACAGCAACAGTGTCATACATGAAAAGACAAACTTTGTTTCCAAACCCTATCAAAACTGGCATGAGGAAGTGACACAGAAAAATGCTGGTAGGTAAGGTAATCCAGTTGGCAAATACTTCTCAGGTCTCCCATGGACAGTGATTTCTTCTAGGAACTCCAGCCACCAAGCAGGCTGCTTAGAGCATTTTGTTCACTAATAAAATTTATCAACATTCATGAATAAATCGATGACAATGTAGAGGTGTACTAGATAGCCATAGGTGCAGCACCCTTTTTCAGGAGTCAGCTGCATCCTATGGGTGGACAGCTGTCATTGGTCTACATAGTTACATTCAGAGTCTCATCTATGGCCCTCAGTAGTCATTTGACCAATGCAACAGCCACACCTTGGGCAACTGCATCAGGTCACAGTCCAAATTCAGTAGCAAAAAAACCCTGGAGCTTCTGAAGGTTATGAAGAGGCACGCATTTTCTATTCTACTGCACCATAGTGCATTAGGCAGACGCAAAAGATATGTCAATTGTTGAGCTAGAACAGGGGTGGGCAAAATACAGCCCACAAGCTGGATCCAGCCCACCAAAGGATTCTATCCCAGCTGTGGTGGGTCCTTCAACCTTACCCAGCCCAGGCACAGGGACAGCCTGGACTGTGGCCATGCGGCCAGTCCTGCTGTCCCCAGGCACACAGAAGGGCTGGGGCAGCGTAGTCACCAGACTCACTTCCTGGAAACCTCCACAGCAGCAGTTCCTTCCAGTTGTCACTTGCAGTCTCCACCTCCACCAGCCCCGGCCCCACTGCCTGGGCACCCTGGCTCCCCTGCCCCACACCAACTGCTGTGGGCACTGGATAGAATGTGTTGGCAGGACCTCCATGGACAGCAGCTAGGACCCATGCGAGCAGGGCAGGCAGTCAGGCAAATGGGATGAGGCTTCAGGCAGGCAGGGAGCAGCATACAGGAATGGGACACGTGGGCAGCGCTGGGGCCAGAGCTGCGATTTATGGGCAGTGACAGCATGGGGCTGAGTCCTGGGGCAGAGCCAAAATCTGCTCCCCACACCTCCCTATGATGGGCTCTGGTTCCATGGACAGGAGCATGTGGGGAGTGGATCACTGCTCTGCCCCAGGCCCCAGGCCCTGCACTATCAATGTACCATAATCCCAATCCCCAGCCCCACCCATCCGTCCTGCTCCCAGACAGCACTCCCCAACGGCACACAGCCCCATCCCATCCACCTGGTCTTGGATCCTATCTGCACAAGTCCCAACTGGAGTCCACAGAGACCTCAGGATTGCTGGGTGCTGACAGCATGGAGTCAGGGTCAGGGGCAGAACTACAATCCACTCCCTGCATGCCCCTGCCCTCAGAATCAGCACCTGTCACAGGGACATGTGGAGAGAAGATCATGGCTCAGCCCTAGGCTCCAGCCCCATGCTGTCACCAACCCTTGATCCCGATCCAAGCCCTGACCCCAGCCCCACCTGGCTGTCTCATTCCTGAATGTGGTTCCCCATCCACCCATGGCCCCATCCCACCCACCTAACACCAGCGCAGTGACCACTTAGGAAGTTTTGGTAAGCTATTGCAGGTGGAGCAAAGGGGGTGCTGGCCCAGCCCACAACAGCTCACTAAAACTCCCTAAGTGGCCCTCCAGCCCAAATAACTGCCCACTCCTGAACTACAAGGTACATTGTGGCCATGGGCGACTGGTGCCTCCTGAGTCTGGGGGGCACAATTTGTGGGCAGGCCAAAAGCCCCATATACCCCCCAACATGCTGCCTGCCCATGCAACAAAAAAAGTGCTTCAGGGTTGGGGGGGGGCGCAGCACACCACTACCCCTCCCCCCACCCCAGGCCATCCCTCCCTGGGCCACCCCCTCCCCCAGCAAGAGCACCAGGATTACCTTGCTCCCCGCAGCAGGAACAGCACCTCTGCTGGGGAGATTGAAGCGCATTCTTTACAGGGAGGGAGGGGCTGCATAGGGGAGGAAGGCGGGGGCAGTGCTCTGGTTGGCTGGAGCGCTCTCTGGTGCTCTGGGCTCCAGAGTGCTGTCAGGGTGGGCGGGGCTGGGTAGAGAAGCAGAGCATGGTCCCCAGCCATACAGTCAGGCAGATGGGGATCCACTCCGCGCCAGGCCCCATCCGAGTTGGGGTGCATCAGTGGGCCCCCCAGCACTTTTGGATGCCAATCATAGTGGGGGCACATGCCCCCTGTGCCTGCCCTACCAGTTGCCTGTGATTGTAGCAAAGCTTTATTTACAGCTTAGATCATAAAAACAGGTGCAATAGATGCTGCAAGCCATCTACTACTGTAGCCAACCTGATCTCCAGTGTTCTTGACTGCATCTTGCCACTGGGCCTTAATAAGTGAGGCTGGAACAGTAAAGACAACTCAGCACAACTGCATGATTGCAATCATGCTGGTGGCAAGTGGAAGAACATGCTAGTGGAAGCAAGTGGAAGTCACTACTACCCTTGGGCCCAAGAAAATCAGTCACATTGCAATGCTGCTGCCAACACTGGCCTAACTTTTGACTGGATAAATATGGTTGATTAACTATGGCATTGTGAAAAAAATTGGAAAACAGTTCTAAATGTCCAAAACTGCTCTTTTTGAATTTAGAAAATGAAATGTTAAAAATGAAATTTTAAACTTCAAACAAGTTTAAATTTTATAGTACTTTTGTAGTAAAAAATATTTTTCCATGAAAAGAAACAAACATACTTTCTTGATAACAAAACACCCTCCAAATTATTATTAAACAGAATTTAAAAAAATCTTTTAAGGTCTGTTTCTCATAGTTTTAATTTTAACTATCATGAACCTGGAGGATATAACAGAGAGCAAAATGGGTGTTATACTACACTCAGACTGTTATAAGGCATTTTGTAATTTTAGCCTGACACTAAACTAACATGAGTCATCTTCACTGATAATGATCCTCAGCTTTGCTAAGCAATGGTATATTTGATCAGTGTGAGTCATCTTTTTATCTATATTGTGCAGACACTTGTTATAACTGATTAACAATTAATCTCTATGTCCTAATGTCTAGAATCTTGAGATGTAGTGCATTCATCCATTATACACTGTTGCATTTAGGGGGTGAAATCAAAAACATAAGCAGAGATCTTGCCATAAGAGGTCACCAAAAGGTTAGTCATATATAGCAGCAGTGGCAGCAAAGATCGCAGCAGTTCTTCAATATAAGGATGACACTTTCAATAGATAGGGAAATCATCAGTAAGTCAAAGAATGACTGAAAAGGCCAATCCAAGATCTGCATGTTTAACTACAGACATGGCAAACAGTTCCAGGAAGAATGCATAGGTGTGGGTGATGTCAGGTTGCAGCTAATTCCCTTTGTCTCACTCATCTACCTGCCTCTGTAGTGAGGTGAGGTTTCTCAAAATAGTCAATGCCTTGTTGTATTTCACAGCTCTCAGTGCTTGAATCTCTCAGGTACTGATGTTAATATTGCATTTCTTTGAGGCGTCCTTGAATCTCTTCTTTTGCCCACCTCAAGACCAGAGACCATTGGCAAGTTGGAAACATTAGTCCATTCATATATATAAAGTCTGTGTTTTTAGGGGACATTTTCTGAGGTGCTTAGGATGCAATTTAGCCTTGGGGTCACTTTTCTAAGTTTAGCGTTTGACCACCATTCAAAATGGTGGCTATGACTAACGAGATGAATAAGTGTCACTATCTCGGTACCTATGAGGCCAATTTTGATTTCCAAAATGACTTTAAATATGTATTATAATAACCTACAAATATCCTTCGTCTTTTGATGAGTAACGGCCCATTGTTTGGCAGCCTTTAAATGCAAAACCCACTTTTTTGACAACACAATAAGAGCATTTGTTTCAAATGGAAAGTTTTACCATTTATTTCTTCAAAGTCACATTTATTAATAACAAAGATACAAATGATTGTGAAACACATTTAAGTAAAATAAAACACAAGGTATTGGGCAGTGCAGTTGTAAAGCCCAAGGTCCCTAGGTCTAGCCCTGGAGGGGTGGGGACAGTGAAGCCTGAGGCAGATGGACAAATAGATAGTGTTTAGGAAGCCCTGGAATTAAGGCTTGGAATGACTGGGGTTTGGAGGGGAGCTGGCAAAGTGACAAGCAGGAGAAGAAAACTGGGGAGTCAACAGATGCTTAAAGCCCTGCTGGGTGGTAAGGCTTTGCCCTAGGATTGTTCCCACCCTCTGCTTTGGGCAGGGGTCAGATACCTCCTAAATTAACTCTTTTTTTCTTTTTTCCAGCAAGGCATGGCAGGAAAGTGTGACTGGGAGGTTTCTGAGTGAAGCAGGGGCGACAGACTGACTGTAATGGGGTGCAGGGACTCCATTCCCCTAGGTACTATTAAAGAGATTCCCACCCATGCAACACTGGATGCTGACTCCAGATGGAAGTCTATCAGCAATGAGATGTGGAATAGCTGTGATATAGATGGATAAAAGTGTTGATGCAATCAAGCATCCTTACTTGACTCCAGTTCTAATGGTGAAGTGGTCCATTTCTAAGCCATTGTTTAATATGGTTGCTGTAACGTAATCATAAAGAAGTCTGATGATGGTAACACATTTTGGAGAGCATCCAAATCTCAGCAGAGTCTTCTTTGTTGGTTGAATCAAAGGCCTAAGTTAGGTCAATGAAGGCCACATAAAAATCTGTGTGACACTTCTCCTGAAGTTGTCTAGCAACAAAGATCATGTCTCTTGTACCTCTGAATGGTCTGAACCTATATTGGAACTCAGGGGGCACATCTACACAAGATATTAAATCACCAGTGGGTACTGTACAGTCATTTAGTACATGCTAAAGCAAGTACTTAAGCAACTGCGCAGTCAGGGACACATGTAGACGTGCTCAGGTAGAATTTCCTCGGAAAGAGGAGTGAGTCTATTGAGGAGAACGTGAGCAAGGATCTTTCCAGCTATGTACAGAAGTGCAATACCATGGAAATTGCTGCAGTCTCCTTTAATGAACATGGCTACAATTCTGTTATCTTTTAAGTTACTGGGAATATGTTCATATTGCCAGGTTTTCAGAATAATGGCACATAATTTGTTGAGAGAGCTTTTTTCCACCATGCTTATACATTTCAGCCTGGTATTCCCAGGACCACATGTTTGTTATTCTTCATCTGCTCAATGGCTTTCAAGTCCTCTTGATAGGTTGGTGGGTCTGCAAGGTGGTCCTTAATGGGGAGTTGTGGAATGACTTTGATGGTATTATCACTTGAAAGTGTTCCTTCCACTGTGCATTCCTCCCGCCCACCACTTGTTCTTTTGCTCTTGAATTTTCCGTGGGTCTCTGCTTTGATCTGACAGTAAGTGTCTTGCTTCTGTTTGGAGTTGATGTCATCTTGCCAAGCTTTGAAGGCTCTCTTTTTTCTATAAATGAGTGTTTGAAACCTTATCACTCTCATCAAACCAATCCTGATGATTCTTTTTGGAGAAGAGATTCTTCACATGCTTCATAAATAACTTTCTTGAGGCTCTCCCAGTGATTAGTGGTGTCAAAATCCTCAGGGAAGTTGGATAGTTTCTCACTGAGGTACTGTTGGAGATGATCGCTTTCAGCAGGGTCTTTCAAGCACTCAATATGGAACGTTTTTCTTGGTTTCTTCTTTTGTTTATGCCATTTTCAGGCAATACAAATGGACATAATAGAATGTATCAAGCGATGACGAGTCACTGTATCTCTGCTGGTCACAGATCTGCTGATATAGACATCACAAAGGTCCTGGGCATACACTCAGGTACCAGTATTTTGAGCAGGAGTGTATCCGTGATGTCTTCTATTTGTTGTTTTGATGTAATAGAAAGTTTGTGATGATGAGATCATGTTCTGAACATTTGCTCAGAAAAATAATTTCATTTGAATTGACTTTCCACACCCTTTCCTTTCCAAGTGTTCCTTTCCAGAGCTCAGAATCCCTACTCACTCTAGCACATAAATCACCAAGAAGAATTAACTTATCTTCTCTGGGGACAGATGACAGGACTTGGTCAACTTTAGAATAGAATTCTTCATTTCATTATCTGCATCAAGGCTTATAACTATACCACTCTATCTATTTATCTCTATATATATGTTTATACACATACACTTACAATTTTAAGATAGTCAAATGTCAGTATGTACATATAGGAGGTATGAGGCCTTTGTCTTGGGTAAATAAAGGTTATCCAAAGTCATCAGTTCTACCTTTATCTGTTTCTTCAGTTAAAATCTGATACTGTTTCTAGCTACTGGATTTTAGCTATTTTGTTGAATGAAGTACAAATCTTGCACTTGGACAGACTGGCATGTACTTTGATAGGTACACCCACGCAAAATGTGCACATTACTGTAAGTAAACATATAAATAACCTTAGTTGATCTTGGGGGGCAACCAAAACCAACAATTTGCTTTCCATATGGGTAATAGGGTTGTAACTTTGTTGGAGTAGGGATGGTCCAGAAAATATCCAAGAACTAGGATTTATTTGGTAACAACATTTACAGAACCAACTACATAGTGAGAAGAGATGTTAAACAAACCATTGGGCACAAAATGCCCAGGTCAGAGAAAGAAACAGCCAGATAGATTGTTTTTGTTTAACACCAGTGTAAGAGGGTCTTGCTCCAGGGGTGACTGTGACATCCCTCTCTGCTCTCTAAAGGCAATCTCTCCTGCAGCTCTCCTGCCATGCCTTGATGTGATTATTTTTTTAAAAGAAGTGAGGCTGCCCCAGGGCTCCCCAAACAAGGTCCCACACTGTAGAACCCAGGTGTCACTGTTCATTGCCTTAAGGTCTCACATCTCATTATAACTACACCCAAGCTTCGCAGATGTTACCAATCACTCCCTAGTTCAGGCCTGCATTCTCTGCCCTTCCTGGTCTCAGGTCTCTGTCTCTTTCCACCCACACCCAGGCACTTTGCCTACCTTGGCTACTCCCAGGTGTGGTCCTGGGTCCCTGACCCTGTTTCCACTTCTCCCAGGTGCTGGCCCCTGGCCCTGACTCCACTATTCTCTGGGCTGTGGGTCTCTGACCCCCTCAGTCTCCAGTTGTGGCCCTTTTTGGTGTCTGACCCCTATCCCTAGGCCCTGGCCCTGCTCCTAGGGCAGTTGAGTTCTCTGGGCTTCTGGGCCCTAGCGGTCTCCAGTTATGACCCCTCATTGACCTTTGGCCCCTATTCATGGGCCATGGCACAACTCCTAGGCCAGTTGAGACCTTCGGACTCCTGGGCTCTGCTTGTTCTCCTGGAGTCAGTCTGCTTCTCTCCTGGGCTTGGGGTCTCTGTACCTCAAACAATTCTAACCCCTCTTGAGCTTAGGCCTGCATTCTCTGCCCTTTCTGGGCTCAGGCTTCATTACTTCCAACAGACCCAGCCCCTCATGGACTGTGGGTCCCCAACCCTTGTTCTGCCCCTCATGGGCTGCAGATCCCCAACCCTAGTTCTTGCCTCTTGTGGGCTGCAGCTATGACCCTGCTCCTCAGCCTTGATCCCTATTCCTTGGGCTCTGGCCCCACTCCCAGGCCAATTGAGACCTCCATCGTCCCTGCAGTCTCAATCCCTAATCTTGCCTACCCCAGCTTAGGTGTTAGTCAGAAGGCTTGCTGCAGTCCTTCTGCTCAGGAGCTCCTCTCTTCAAGGTTTCCAAGTCAGACTGCCTGCTCTGCTAAGGCCCTGGACTTATATCCTGTAAGCTCCACCCCTTCTGGGTCATGTGGTTCCCTTGATTAGCCTCTGCCTCACCTGTAGCCTGCTTCTCCTGCAGCCTGCCTTCTTTTAAAGTAGCAGGAGCTCCCAGCATATAAGTGGAAATAGTCACTTTAAAAAGAAAAGAGGACAGTGAACCTGTGGAGTAAACTAAAGTTATCAGAAGTACCTACAGACCAGATAAAGAGCAAATTAAATTGATAAACCTTATTATGTAAAAGAATAAGATCATGCAAAAGGAAAAGTGTGGCTATTACCTGTTGAGTACAGAGACATTATCAGAAAGAGAAAGTAAATCAAATCAGAGTAAAATCAACTAAACCCTGGGTTTTAATGTTAGTAAAGTTATGAATTTTTGTTCCCAATGCCATTTTCTGAGGATACTGTGTTCTGTTCTCCTGGCTTATCTGTACTCTGCAGGTAATAATGAACTTTTTGTTTAATGTGTCCCCCAGTCATAGAGTTGGTATAATTAAAGATATTACCAAACCAATCTTGATTCTCACATTTTTCATCCATAGAACTTCTGTCTCCTTCACCATCCTCCAACTTTCCTCTGACCCAGTACACTCAATGCCTTGCTCTGAAGAAATAGTCAGACTATATGCTAAGGCAGCGGGGACTTTAGAACTGTGTATCATATCAAATAAATTTAGGCTAGCTATATAAAGCAAATTGAATTTAAATGCCCTGATACATTCTGCTGGCACAATTTTATTCCAGAAAATCAGAAGTTTGGTTGATTGGCCAAGGTCACTGTTATGATGACACTCCCTCTTCCTTCATGGTCCTGCTATTACAAGGACTTGTGCTGAGATAATGAATCAAATTAAGCATCTTGATGGCATTTTTATTATGTCCTTTCCCTTGAAAAGTTATCCAGGTTGCAATCAGATATGACAAGTAAAGCAGATATCAAATGCATAAGTTGCTCCCTTGTATAACATCATCCTGTATAGCAACAATAACAAATTCTCTTGAGGCTTGGGGTCTTGACTGGTGTCATTTTGTCTCATCACTGTATCTCCAGTGTGTGTAAGATCCAGCAGGATCCAGCATCATATTTTCACAATGGTGTGACCAGCCACAGTCCTCCACTCCTTAATCCATCACGTCATAGATGAGAACTTTGAAACCCCTTAATGGAGTACTTTCCCAGTCTGCCAAGGGACCCTCCCTCTCTGAATGAG